ATAGCGTATTAAATTTTGATTACAGGAAAACTACATATTTAACGCAACTAATTCCGTTACAAAAAAAAGCGCTGTCATAAAAATCGAAAGTCTACTTTAAGATAAGGTCAAGGTCCCATTCAAGGCGTCCATGTCTCACCCCCATGAACTTGGAGCGGGTCATTAAGGTAATTGCGAATTGTCACTGACAAGGAAAATGACAATTCACTTCAATCAAACGTCACGAAAATTTCTATTGTTACCATACAGCTTCGTGCGAGATTAAAAGTTATTTGGCCTACCGTCTTCGAACACCTTTTAAAGCGATACTCTGTCGGCCTGTCTCTGCTCATGATATTACCAGTACCAGTGGCCATTTACGATGGTAAGTTCTTACCACCAGCTAACTCGATTGCTCGTCTGCCATCGACGGTAATAAAATACAGACTACAAATACAAAATAGTCATACAGACTCGCGGCCCATCTGATGGAAAATTGCTCATGGACATCTACTCTGTGGAATTCTTCGACGTAATAATTTCATCTCCTTTTTTATTGCACTGTCTACTGTCTAGAACCGGAGCGCTCATTCACAGTGCCATTCCAGAGATCTTTCACACCACGCAACATCTGGCTTTGGAATTAACTCCCCCTCTATGGTACTCGTATGTGATAACCGGGTGCTGTAAATGTTCTTCTTCAATCGAGGCTTGAAGAGAGTAGTCTGGAGTGTGCTGCGGCCTGGAATTATTGATGTCCATGACGAACGATAGCCACTTACAATCAGGTGGGCTGTATTTCTGCCGGAAAAAAAAACAAAATATGTAATCTCAAAAACAAACAGTCAACATATTCAAATAAGGATTCTTTATTTTCTCTAAAAAAGTTAAACGCAAAACTATAAGGAACGTTTGCTGTCACATGCAACATGTCAATCAACACACACAATGGTTGGCCTTCGATATTCGTAACCTTGTAAATTAAAGTTAATACTTTATTATAAACAAAGCAAAAATTCAAAGCAGCTTTATGTTTTCACATTAAAGATGAGGCTGCTCCACGCAGTAGCAGTTATGTTCACTATGCTGTTGTTCTTTGTGCGAGAAAAATACGTACTGGCCGGAGTATGCCCTGTTAGTTATTTTAATATAAAAAAACGAATTCAGGTACCCAGATATGTACTACGTAATCGACCAGTGAATATCCAATGTACTCATTATTTGAAACGTTATTAAAAGAGACTTCGCTTAACGGTTGCCTCTCTGACTGTACAATTACGTGCTCACTACATATGTATCTATCTTATAATTTAAATTAACCTAGTAGTAGAAAGTGAGACAATGTATGTATATATGTATAAACATAAATTATCTTACGTATTACGTATAATATGAAATGACTGGTTCTCTTTGTGTCGTGAAGTGCACTCGCGTTTTCCACGTTATTGTTGGCCCTTCAGTGGTTTGATCTCGTCCGCTACGAACAGGCCGCGAGCGAGTACTTTTGACAAATGGATGATTTTCATACAATTAGTGATAGTCGCAGCGGAGGCTGATCGGGTATCACGAGTGTGAAATATAAATTAGGGTTAAATAAAATAAATTTAATTTAAAATAAGAAGTATTTTCCAAAGTTGTATGTCGACGCGCGAGTAGTTTTGCTTGAGAGAAAGAGCAGACGCCCCATATGATTTAAGTAAGTGTTTACCAGAACCCAAAGACGACGAAAGACAAATTGATTAGTCTGTTACGTTTTCACGCCCAAATCACTGAATTGATGGTAGTAGGTGGTGGTAGGACCTCTTGGGAGTCCGCACGGGTAGGTACCACCACCCCGCCTATTTCCGCCGTGAAGCAGTAATGCGTTTCGGTTCGAAGGGTGGGGTAGCCGTTGTAACTATACTCAGATCTTAGAACTTATATCTCGAGGTGGGTGGCGCATTTACGTTGTAGATGTCTATGGGCTCCAGTAACCACTTAACACCAGGTGGGCTGTGAGCTCGTCGATCCATCTAAGCAATAATAATAAAAAAATATTGATTTTGATGAAATTCGATATGGGAAGAGTTAAACCCTGAGAGAAAATGTAAGTTGTCTCTCATTCTTCCATTCTCTCTCATTCCACGCGGATAAAACTGCTGGCTTAAACGAAAAACAGTAAAGGCGACATTAAATCGTACTTTTAAGAAGTTACTTATTTCGTCATTATTTTTTTTTTATTGCCCTTGTAGGCAGACGAGCATACGGCCCACCTGATGGTGAGTTGTTACCGTCACCCATGGACTTCAGCAATGCCAGGGGCAGAGCCAAGCCGCTGCCTACCTAATCTAATCTAATCTAATCTAAACCTAAACCTATCTTTGTAATGTTTCAGGTGAAAAACCGTCGCATCGATATAGAACCATGTTCAGATGACGACACAGCTTCCAGTATCAGTCCGATGTCGTATTCTGCAAATAATTTCATTGCGCGCGCTCGAGCCAGTACTCACTCAAAGCCCAAATATAAACGAGACCCGGAAATTGAAGTCGACAACGAATATATCGGTGAACACCCGCAAGAATTCATCTAATCACGAAAACTTCAATTTTAGAACTAATTAAAACAACATTGTGAGAAGCCAAGTTTAGTTTTATTAAAATGTATAATAAATTTAATTATGAAAAAAACTTAATCAAACTACTGTGTTGCCAAATTCGTCTGCCTTTTATTATCGTTTTGTGTGCAGTTCCGTCTTCTCGTGGCGGGTACCATTAAGTACCTGATATTCTTTTTGTAATACGGACACGCCGGTTCGTCACAGCCCAGTACTTCAGCTTCACGTAGGGCTGGGCCGCCGTCCCGCAACACTTCATCTCCTATGATCAGTCTTCGTGCGCAAGCCAACAGACAAGGGCCACAGAGCGCCACGGCACACACCGCGGCTAGAAACTGAATTATAAACATCACAGCTTGTAACCACATCCTAACTCTTAGTCACATATTGCTAGCTCTTCTTTATATCAAAATATCTATTTCAATATTTTATATTCTTGTTATAGGTTACTAAAATCAGCATTTATTTTTGATATTACAATGCCCTTGGATCGATTAAGAATAAATATGTTTACAAAATGATGTGTCCGTAAAAATATAAAAATCTGAGTAAAAACTTTGATATTGTGACATAATATGAAACGTAAAAATTTATGTCTACGTTTTCGTTTATCTTTTACTTCATACAGTAAAAAGTTTGTTTAACTATCTGTTAGAGAGCGGGATTTAGTAATAGCACTTATGACTTTTTCAAGATTAACTTACTAATAAGTACAGGTTTTGAGCAGCAATATTCGGTCCGTGGGTCTAATGGACAAGGTCGGTGGAATACATTCTCTCTATGGTTTTCAATAACTATTTTAATTAATATATAAGACACAAGTTGCTGCTTAAGTATACATAATTTAGTGAAAAGCGGTGACTGGTCCCTTGGTATTGCTTAGAGCCATAAATGATGGTGAATACTCATAAACACTCAATCATAATACTCATATTAAAATAAGGTGGGCCATTTGCTAGACTATCTACGTCCCGGCTCCTGTAAGCTGACGGCCTCCCCTGGTGAATCTCACGGGGTGACCTGATGGGGTAGAGGCTGCGCTACCAGCACTCTAGCGCACCGTCAAGAAGTAACACCGTAAGAGCGCCTAAAGCCAACCCTTGGGCCCGCGGTCCGCTCCAAACATCTGCGAACCGTCCACTCCTTCACACACTTGCGTTCCCGCCAAAGTTACATTTTTTATGGGATTTTATGACCTGGTAACTAACACCTTTAAGTCATGTCTTATTTTAATAATTTATATTCTTATCTTTATGAAAAATAATAGTATGGAGTGTAATGAAATGAAATGAAATGAAGATGATTAATTTGAGACATTAATCAATTGGGATGAAATGAAACGAAATTAGATGAGATGATATGTGATGAAATTTAATCTCAGTAAAATTATGATCATTTACTGAGACTTTTTCAGTTGACTTTCCAGTTGAAGTCCACGTGATCATAAAACTCCACATTGTACATAGATTATACATTTAATACATTGTAACTTTGGTGACTTTTTTGGCAGGAACGCGAGAAGCGATGTTGTGATTTGTTTTATTTTGTCTATTTAGTGTTTCTCCAGCTTTAAATGTGTAATAACGGTAGTATATTAACTATTTAAAATCTGTGAAAGTGCAAAATTGTGGAAAAATTAAACAAAGCTGCTGGACGTCACTTCTCGGGATCCTCCTAAAAGCTCACTGAAAAAATCTTAGTAAATGACCACCATTTTACTGAGATTATATTTCATCCCATTTCATTTCATTTATTTTCATCCCAGTCGATGAATGTTTCAAATTAATCATCTTCCTTTCATTACACTCCATAATATCATTTTTCATAAAAATATGAATATAAATTAAAATAAGACATGACTTAAAGGTCTCAGCTAACAGGTCATAAAATCAAAAAATTATGATCACGTGCTATCTATGTATATATCGCACAAATAATACCTACACTAGCATATATAATACATTATATCATAGAGTTAATAAGTACGGTACTTACATTCTTTGCACTAAATTAACCTTAATATATAATTTAAAATTTTAGTTGTTCTAGTGATCTAAAGATGGCCAATTTTTATCAAAAAAATAATATTGATATGAGTGATATTTGAAGTATTCAAATTTCCAAACATAATACGATAGAGGTCTAGAAGATTTAAAGTCGTCAAGGAATACCTTTTGAAAGATAAGACGCCAAGAGCAAGCGTATTGAACGATACGACTATGCCGGTTTTCAAATCTCGTAGTAAAGTATAATTTTTTCACTTGATCGGTTCTGTGTTAATTATCGATTTAAAAAATCTCATTTCTGTAAATCGATTTCAAATTGTCATCCCTACTATCCACAAATCTCAAATATTAAGTGTCTCAAATATACTAAGTGTATAATCTATGATTAAGTGTATAATCTATGCAAGTAGCATAGATTATCAACTAAAAGTGATAGATGTTTAATTGAAATGAATATAAATTCTTTTGTAAATAAATATTAATCAGTGAAAATGAATTTTGATTTGTGAATTAAACTAATGACGGAATTTGGTAAAAATTATCGTAAAAATAAGTTATTTTCTTTTTATTTGTAAGGACGTATAATCGGAGACCACAATGCGATCGAATGTCATAATTTGGTGAGCATTAACAGAATAGTGGAATAAAAAAAATGCACAGTAGTGAAATTAACATTTTGATTTAAAAAAAACTACAATTTAAAACTTTAAATTGTAATGAATGGACAGAGATTGTAACCGAAATTTCTTAATGAAATATTTGTCAAAAGAGCTTATGGAACTCATAGTAAATCTAACAAATCAAATCATTATAGCTTTATTTATAAGGGTCACTGTATCATTACTGGGGCTCAAAGACACCAAAAGCGAATACCCACTTTGGTACATTACATAAAAGTCTCGATTTTATTATTTTACAGATTCAATCGGTTTCTTTTACTCTTCTCTTTTAATATGTTACTTGACGTGTGCAGAATAATCTTTTCAACCATTTAGTAATGATTTTATCTGGTTTCATTGTATGTAGAGTTAGCTTTTGCAAGTTAGGAGTTTGTAGAGCTGCCGTCCTTTTTTAGTCATTTTGAAGTAAACTTTGTTTTGCTGCTTAATTAATAACTGCATAGAACATTCACCAGAAAAACAACAAAAGCCTAATTTAACTCATTCAAGATTATTTTATGATATAGAAAGTTGTAGATATCTGTAAATAATAATAATAGCAAATTCTATTCAAATAACAGTATATTAAGGAGTATGTTTTTTTTTTTTTAAACATTATATTTCTAGGGTCGTGATAGCATCATGCATCCTGCTGATGTGGTTGATTGGTCGACTTTACCACGAACTTCTGTATGCCTATGAACAGTCCAGCACACTAACAAATATAGAGTATTCATGGTAATATTAATATTTAATTGTATCAATAAATTTATCTTTATTCGTTAAAGGATTATCTTAACAAAAAACGAAATTAATTTACCTAGTAATTAAAAAAAACACTAAAATTGTTACCAAGACTTTTTTACATATGTGATCTTATATGGAAGTGGAAATATTCAGGTTTTATGCTATCTAAAATGATGAATGGGATGTTAACTAATGTGCAGGCAGTCAGTTAGCTATTACACCGTTTTTGAAATACATGAGTGCTGCTGACTAATAACTCTGGGGAGATATGCCCTCAGAGGGAAAAAAAGTGAAAAGAACCTTAATTACAAATTTTCAACTCAGATGTGCCCAGAAATAGTTAGGGTTGATGTCTAAAGATAAATTGCAATATTTTAGGCAAGACAGTATATATTGAAATTTATTTCACAATATAATTTGAAAGTGTTTAATTATTTGAAATATTTTAGTAATTTAGTGTGTATTCATTAGGTTGTTCCGGCTGCTGTTAAACGTTACTGGGTACTCAACGATACTGGTACCTGGATTCATACTTTACAAATATCTACATAAAATTAATTATTTCCAAAAAATAAGTAAGTATTATTTACAGTGCAGTATTATTTACAGCTAAAGTTTATTCTTTTACAGAGCTACTAATAATTCTATTCCACTAGAAATAAAATAAGCTAGAGCAGCACCAGAGTTAATTCATTCTCTAAATTAACATCACATGGTCAAAATATTCATAAAAGCTCCTTTTTGTTATTTATCTCATAAATGGGCTTGTTTTATTGCATACTATTCGATTCATTATTTCAGTGGGTGTAGCATTCAATAATTAAGATCTGTTTTCATGACACTTTGTTCAAAGTTTTGCAATCGTTATGTTTGATCGGTGAGCAATTAGTGTTCGCCATGTATGCATGATAATTTACAGATGTGTAAAATGAAATAAAAGTATGTCTAATTCTTTCAATCTTTCTAAATGTGGGCCTAATGTATGATAAGATACAAATTGGTATTCATTGTTTGTAAAATAATTTAATATTCAAATATTAATGTGCATTTCATGTAAATTGAGAGATATGCATCTTTTTAATTATTGTACTATTATGATCATGTGATATCATTAAATCAAACCAAAAGTATTTTTTGAGAATTTGGAACTATGATAAGGCTGTGCACCCACTCACGCAGACTTCCAATACACTTGTAAAATTAAGAAGATGGTCAGTAAAACCAAATTTAATGGTGTATTTTCTATAATTTTGAATACCACTGTTGAGTTTGTAACAGTTGTAAACCTCTAAGTTACTTTTATAATATTCATATTGCCTATCTTCAGCTCTCACAGGCAAAACAACTGGCGAGATTGATCTGACTGAATAAACTTTTTTAGCGAATCCATCGTGTTTATCTCGTTGTCTGCAAGCTATTTTCGGTGAATGGGACGACAGGATACCAGATCCCGCAAAACCTTCGAAGGTTGAAGGGGAAAAACGTAAAGATAGCATAGAACTGTTGTTCTGTTTCACCGGACTCATGGGTGCTTATCTAGTCTGGGGATTGTTGCAGGAGAAAATTATGACACAGGTAAGTTGATTTTGTTGCTCTTTTTTGAGGACTTAGGATTGGTTATTAATATTATGGACAATTGGATGGACTGTTTGAAGTTGCTGGATGGACAAGGGTAGGAGTCTAGTTTTTTAACTGGATTTATAGGATACAAGTGAGTGGGTATTCGAAATATAAAATGAAAATTAACCTATATAGACATTAAGTGGCAGCACTTTAGTAAATGTATTGTAATTGAGTGTTCTTGCTGTGTAGGTTATTGAAGACTACTGCTTTAAATTGAATTGTTTTTCAACCAGAAACCAGTAACCCAATAGCGGGACCCTACGCCACGCCAGCGAGCGCTAGTAGTAAGCGGGTAATAATAAGCCGTACGAGTGGCTCTACCGATGGCTGACGACAATTTGAAGTTGGGCAGCGCAATGTTCTATCGTCGTCCCCAGAAGTACGTGATGCCGGACGGGTCCACGGCGCGGTTCAGCGACTCGCAGCTGCTGGTGTTCGTGAACCGGCTGGTGGCGCTGGCGGTGGCGGCGCTGCGGCTGCGCGCGTCGGGCCGGGCGCTGCTGGGGGGCCCGCTCTACCCCTTCTCCTACAGCGCGCTCACCAACGTGCTCAGCGCCTGGTGCCAGTACGAGGCGCTCAAGTACGTCAGCTTCCCGGTGCAGGTCAGTCAGAACCAGTCAAATATTCCACTATTTCCACTTTCATCTTTAATTCTAAACCCAGGGTGCCACTGTAGCAATGGAACAGCAAGGTAACCAGTGTTCTTTTTTATAACATGCATGCATAATTTTTGGTGCGCTGCAGACTTGGCCCTCGCCAGTTTGCAAAGCATTACGTACAGTATGCGCGCGAGTTCATGTCTATCGGGGCCAGAGACGACGCGCGGGGGACAGCTCGCCCCACCTCCGCCCGCCCCCCGCATTGGTCTGACGTCGAGTGTTGTCCTTGATGGTTGTGACGCGCGCTTATCGATATCGAAAATTTACGCTAACGCTATTGTGTTATTTAACCATGACTAATCCGCTTCCAACAAACAATTTCAGGTAGAAAAAACCTACTGAAAAAAATCCTTACTGATTCCGACTCTGATCTGTTACATTAAACCAAATTGACAGCTGTTGACTAAATCGGTAGTTATTTATCGACATTACCATAATTAAGTAGATATCACAGCACTACCGCATTCCTCAGGATGGACATGAACTCGCGCACCTACTACAACTATAAATTTTGAAATAAAAAAACCCAGTACGATCTTGTAATTGTTATTAAAACTAGTAACATTAGACTCGGACTGGGACTGGCAGGTGCTGTCCAAGTCGTGCAAGGTGATCCCGGTGATGCTGATGGGGGCGGTGCTGTCCCGGCACAAGTACTCGCGCGCGGAGTGGGGCACCGCCGCGCTCATCTCCCTGGGCATGGCGCTCTTCCTGCTGGGGACCGGGGCCGCCGTGCAAGGTCCCTACTCGAGCCTTTTGTTTATTGCTTAGATAGGTGGACGAGCTCACAGCTCACCTGGTGTTAAGTGATAGCAAACAATCACATAACCGATACTGATGATATATTTTTAACTAACCGATTCATAAAAAAACAAATTTCCGCTCTCAGCCCCTTTCCGACCTTTGATACCGCATTGCACGAATTTATATGATCACCCACCGACTTCAATAAAGATTGTTTATTAGATATTTGGTTAAATTTTACATTGATTTATATGTGAAGATCAAACACAGGAGTTTCTAGATATTTATGGTATATTGTTATCGGCCGATTATAGTATGAGCGGTAATGGTCGAAATCAGAATTTTCGGAGAGTCTACGGACATACAATACGTGTAATCGTAATAATGATTTTTTTTATTGTTTAGATGGGTAGACGAGCTCACAGCCCAAGTGTTAAGTGGTCACTGGAACCCATAGACATCTACAACGTAAATGCGTCACCCACCTTGAGATTTAATTTCTGAGGTCTCAATATAGTTACAACGACTGCCTCATCGAAACAACCGAAGCGCCTGCTCTGGTCTCATTCCGAAAACGACTATTTAACAATTATAATATAGTCTTGTACATAATATAGAGCACAATCCCATCGTTTTTATTCCTTTCGGAAACAACCGGCCTTCGGTCCGCTGGTAGTCAATGGGTTCCGTCGTTAAATGGACATCAACAGTGTGAGTTTGAAGAAAGATGTGTCATAGCGCTCGGGAAGCACCCACGTTGTCTGTTTGTATGTATAGCAGTAACCAACTCCATATATTAGCAGCTTGTCGTTTCATCAAGAGAAAATCAATTAAAATACTCATTTCACTTCATTGCATAATCAATTCTAGTTTCATTTTTGAAAAATAAAATAGGAATTTAATGTACAAAGTCAGTAGGTTCGCTGATAGAAATATTGAAAATTATAATGGAACATTCGCGTTATCGAGATTCGACTTAGATAATGTCATCGAGATAACTAACGTGTTGACAATTTGATTTATCGTGACGGATTTCTGCTCTGAGAGTCTCGCTTCAGAACATTTGCGAGTAAATCTTAAGATGTGTTTACCGGCTACATATAGTTCGCATGACGTCACAATTCAATATGATGTAATCGACGTGAAATTAAAATACTTCCTTATTCCGAAGTGATGACGTTGCGTGCAGGCGCGGCGGCGGCGGGTGCGGCGGCGGGTGCGGCGGCGGGCGCGGCGTCGGGCGCGTGCCTGCTGGCGCTGTACCTGTGCTGCGACTCGTTCACGTCGTCGTGGCAGGCGGCGCTGTTCGCGCGCGGCGGGGTGTCGGCGCTGCAGATGCTGTGCGCCGTGAACTGCTGCAGCTGCGCGCTGTCGGCCGCCGCGCTGCTGCAGGCGCCCGCGCTGGCCGCCGCCGCGCGCTTCCTGCAGAGCCCGATGTTCGCGGCCGACTGCCTCGTGCTGTCGCTGAGCTCGGCGCTGGGGCAGCTCTTCATCTACCGGACTATATTCAAGTTCGGAGCCGTCGTCTTCACCATCATCATGACTCTGAGACAGGTGATCATTATTTGTCGGCTTTCACTCATCGAGATTGATTCTCAGTCGACGGCTTGGCTGTGCCTATAATATTGCTGATGACCATGAGCGACGGTAACCACTTACCATGAGGTAGGCCAAATGCCTGTTTGCCTACGATGGCAATAAAAAAGCAAAGGTTTTAAATGACGACAGGCAATCGTGAGCACTCGTGAATCTCATAAATATATGTATACTTACAGAATTATTGATTTTACATTACGCTCTAGTGATTTTTACCCAAATAACTTTAATCAAAAATCATTTTCGTCCAGAATATAGAAAAACTATAGTAGAATTATGTTGTCGCTGCAGTTTGGGTAGTAAAAAATCGGAACGGTGAAACGAGTATTTCCCTCTCTCTTCCACTCACGAGCCTAATGGACGGGCATAGTGAAGCGCATTATTGTTGTCGATAAGCGTTATGGATAGTGTATTTAGTTTTGTCATTTTGTGGGTTAGTGATAAAAATGAAAGAAAAAATCACTAATCGAACATTTACACCACATATCGCCGCAGCAAGTTAACGAGAACGGCGAAATTAACACTTTGTAACTTTTCGGGATTTATTCTTATTTCAGTGAAATTTTTTAACACATTGTTGATAACAACACGTGAAAATATTATTTTGAATAAATTCTGCCGTTTTGATACAAAACAAAGGAGTAGCCATTGTGTCACTAAAGAAATTCAGAGAACGAATGCATAAAAACACATTTCTCTTCGACATAATGTACTATAATTTGCAGGTAAGTACAAATGACTCTTAACATAACAATGTTTCACCACCCTTCGTATACCGCCCCGCCGCCGTGTACCTGCCTTCGATGACTCATTTGTTTTTATCGATAATGGCGTTGCGCCCGCGCAACATGCTCATCGCCCTAGCCGGGCTACGTTTTATGACCCAAACTGCAGCGATAAAATAATTCTACTATAAGTATAGTCCTGTAGCCCTTTGCACCCCCTGACCCCGCCCCCCTATGCCGGCAGGCCGCGTCCGTGCTGCTGTCGTGCGCCGTGTACGGGCACGCCGTGTCGGGGCCGGCCGCGGCGGGCGTGCTGCTCGTGTTCGCCGCCCTCGCGCTGCGCCTCTACTGCAAGCAGCGGGCCCCCCGCGCGCCCCCCGGTGGCACCGCGTTGTAGCGCATGCAGTGGGACACCCCCGCGTGCGCCCCGCCGCCGCCGCGCTATGGTGAAGTTGCCCAACACTCGCCGGTTGAACCGTAGGTTGTGTACTGATTGTATACCGCACTCTCACTTGCGGTCTAAAATTGTTTTATTTATATAATAATAAGCGGTAATCATGTCGGTTGGACCCTAGCTTGGTGGACTTAGACAATGCCTCAAAACTTCCCTTAAAAGTATCACGGGTCAGTGTGGTGGTCTAGTGCTGGTATAATTGTAGTGTAACTATGTAGTTACACAGATAACCCTATTATCGATGTATAAAATTTTATACATCAATATTAGAAATTATATTGATTTTTAATATTGTCTGTTTCTGTGACAAAGATTCTTTATATATAGTTAGCGAAGACGCACGTGCACTAGCGCTGCGGGCGGCCGCCAGTCCGGAGCCTGTGTAGCCGTCGGATGCTTGTATTATTTTACCCGCTAACCCGCTTCGCAGCGCTTGCGCATAGTTTTGCTTATAAACTGATAGTGTTTATAAAACTGTGCGGGTGGTTTAATTTGACTACATTTCATAATTGACCACAGCTTATTACCAAGCGATAACAGCATTTATTTATTTATACAAGGAGAACCAACCGACGACTGTATTTTGTTCACAAATCTCAAGTCTCGAAATTTAGAAACATAAGGTTATATTGTAGGTTTAATAAAGTTTTACATATTGTATACGATTTTTTATTAAATTTATGTTATCCTTATTTTGACCGTCATGCGTGCGACGAGTGTGCGTGCGTCCATGCGCACCAGTGTGTGTGTGCGTATGTATAGAAGAAAGTGCGTGCGTGCGCACGAGTATGCGTGTGCATGTGCACGAGTGTGTTTGTTCGTGTGCGTGTGTGTGTGTGTGTGTGTAAATGCGTGCTCCAAGTGTGTGTCTTCGTGTGCACGAGTGCGTGTGTGCGTTCACAATCTACTAATAAATTGTTTAATCTAATTTTACTTACCATTAATTTAAATATTAAAAACACAATTTATTTAACAACAATTACTTTTAAAGTACGTACTGTAACTGATAAAAGTATTGAACTCGCTTAGTCATTTTGTTTTGTTCGTTGCTATAACATGGCTGCCTTCAGGCAAGGGGCTTCAATTGTTAGCGGGTCATAAACACTTGATATTTGATGTACCGCTGTGGAGGAGAGACCTTCAAAGTGCTTGAAATGTTCTCGTTGAGAACGTGCTCTCCGTACACACTTTAGTAAAGCTTACGTTATGTGTACTTTTATGTTCTCTTCATTATTTATTCAGTTCATTACCGTTCAGCAGATATATTCTGTTCAGTTGATTTTATATATTTTTTAAATTTGGGGAAACCTATTATATTGGCTTATTGTTTTGATGCAAATATGATAGAGGGGTATATAAGCATCTTATTGTTATGATAGTTAAAGTCAATAAATTTGGAAACAATAGAATTGCTTCTGTTTGATTCTTGTCTACCCACCTATCATATTACAGTTATGATAAAAAGGGGATAGAAAAGCCTTTTCTTACTATGTTTGTTAAAAATTAGATAAATAGAATTGATGCTACTATTATTTAACTATCCACCAAAAATATTTAATTACGCGCGTGTCTGAGCGTGTGCGTGCGAGCTTGCAGTGTCTGGCTGCGCTCGCTTGCTTGCTGCTGGGCAGCACAGACTGACCGTCAGTGAGTAGGGTGAGTGCCCCCGGGTGGGTCGCCGCCCGCGCACCGGTACGCGCTCGTCTCGACGCCGATGAGTATTGTAATGTCGTATTTTGTTCATTTTCCCGAGTCATAGACTTAATTGAACGACTTTTACGGCGTAATCTCGTGTTTTGTCGCGTGAAACGATTTGATAGTCCGGGACCAAGACAACTAGTGGTAGGACCTCTTGTGAGTTCGCGCGGGTAGGTACCACCGCCCTGCCTATTTCTGCCGTGAAGCAGTAATGCGTTTCGGTTTGAAGGGCGGGGCAGCCGTTGTAACTATACTTGAGACTTTAGAACTTATATCTCAAGGTGGGTGGCGCATTTACGTTGTAGATGTCTATGGGCTCCAATAACCACTTAACATCAGGTGGGCTGTGAGCTCGTCCACCCATCTATGCAATAAAAAAAACAAAAATAAAAACTAGACTATTCTTTCTATTCTATTTAAATACAACACTGCAAAAAGAATATCATCACATTTACGATTCTGACAGCACAAAAAGGTCGTTGACGTGACTTTTCAAATTGACAGACATGGTTTAGCATTATTTGGTGTTTTCTCAGTAAATTGAAAATGTTTTCGTAATCAAATCGTTCTACCGATCCTCATAACAATGATTTTTTTTTAGTGTTCATTATCTAGTAAATTGAACTTATCGCACATTGGACCGAATGTTAGTAATTTTTTTAATGTTTTAAGCTGCCATATTTTTCTAAGATATCTCATCCCAGTAGACTCCTCGCAGTATATTTAGGATTTTAAAGATACACTAATAGACTCGTATCGGTTCTACGTGTTCTAGCCCATCCTCTCTTCATGGGTGTTGGGCTTGGGCATTAGCGATACCCAATCAAATTTCAATGAAATAACAGAGGTGGACTGAAGGCAGCATTGTTCACAGGGCCCTCTCATAGTACATTGTTTTCTTTACTTCCTACCTATGCTGATAGCCTTGAGAGCCTATATCAGCGTTACCTTAGCGTGTAGGTGAGCTCTTGGGACTCACACCGGAGGTGTTGCTAACATGCTCTAGCAAGAGCAGTGCTCCGCTGAATCTACCACCGGATCAGAAGCGCGACCCTTTGAGAAAATCCGGCGAGAAACTCAGTGGGCTGTGCCTATGGGTTAGTTTATTCACCGAACCCTTCGTCGCAAGCAACGGGTTCGACGAGGACGATGACCGGTGCTTAAGGTACCTAAAAGCACCATTAATGGATCGGGAGGATGCGGATGATGCGGAGGATGCGGATCGGATGGATGATGACGTGTTTAGGGCAACGTCGACTGTTTACCATTCGGTCCACAGAATCGGGTATGGCTACATTGGAAATCGCCTAAAATTACACTGGAATATATGTATAAGCAGTGGGTAGGGCACATTACTCGTAGAACGGATGGCCGCTAGAGCCAAAAAGTTCTCGAGTGGTGACCGCGTGCCGGAAAACGTAGCGTGGGTAGGCTTCCCACAAGATAGACCCAAGATCTATTGAGGTTTGCAGGGATCCGCTGGATGCAGGCGACGCAGGACCGATCGTTGTGGCGAAGTTTGAGGGAGCAGTGGACGTCCTTGGACTGAAAGATAGATACGTAAAAAGGGAACGCAGGAGAAACTATGTGATTAAAAACATGAAACGAAACTAGAACTATGTACAGTACAGATGGTTCGCGCCTGTTCGTAAACGGCACATTTTTTTATTGCTTAGGGAGCCCATAGACATCTACAACGTAAATGCACTACTCATCTTGAGATATAAGTTCTAAAGTCTCATGTATAGTTACAACGGCTGCCCTACCCTTCAAACCGAAACGCATTACTGCTTCACGGCAGAAATAATACGTCATTTCGGATCCTCCCGATCCACTAACGGTACTTTTAGATACCTCAAGCACCGGTCATCGATTTCGTCGAACCCGTCGCTTGCGACGAAGGGCTCCACGTGTAAATTAACCCTCAGACGCAGCCCACTGAGTTTCTCGCCGGATCTTAGAGCGTCGCGTTTCCGATCCGGTGGTAGATTCTGCGAAGCACGGCTCTTGCTAGGGTTCGTGTTAGTAACGTCGTCAGGTTTGAGCCCCGGGAGCTCACCTACTGGTTAAGGTTGCGCTGAAATAGCCTCTCAAGGCTCTCAGCTAGGTAGGCAAAAAAAAATCAGAAATAGGCAGGGTGGTGGTGGTACCTACCCGCTCGGACTCACAAGAGCTTGTGTCCGGTAGCGGGAGCGCGTAATGTTGCTGCAAGTGCTGGTGACGTCACTGGTGGCGGCGGGCCTGGCCCCGTGCGTGGTGCAGAGCGCCTGCCGCACGCGCCCGCAGGCCCCGCCCTCCGCGGTGTGCATGCACCGGCTGGACGCGTGCGCCCACAGGTACCCCGGCGCTACCACTACACTACACTACACTACACTACTCACTCACTGACTACATCAGGGGCAGTGCTAGCCGCTCGGTGGAGACTTCGTCCTGTCGTCTCGACATGGTGCCGTGGAGGTGCAACCTGCGTAACAATTACTGATCTTTTGAATCGCACGAAGATTGCGTTTAAGCTGTCTTTCATTCCCCACTTGGTATTAGGGAACACGTTAGGCCTTTTTTTTAAATTAGAATATTACGAACCATGGAAAAATATAAAAATAGCCGTTGTGTATACCTATGTGTCTAAAAATTGCTTTAATCGAAACAAATTGAATTTAAAATGGCAACAACACACTCAATTAATATGCAGACATATTAAATGGAATTGTTCGTTGACAGGAAGTCTACCAAATCAATGAAGAATGATAATTAAATACACGACCTGCCGACATACCTACATAACTACACTTGAAAAATCTTATCAAACGTAAGTTGTTTGATGAAGAATGTAAATTATTGGAATTGCTATTTATGGTAATGAGCTGTAGCTTGTACTATAGAAAATAGCTTGAACGGCGACTCGGGAAGCAATTTCCGCGTCTCAAGGACGATGGCGTCGTTCGCATTGTGATATCCGCGGGCTCCGGTGACCACTTAGCACCAGGCAGGTCGTGACATTGTTCATTTGGTTAAGCAATAACTCACCGGTCACGTGGCACGCAGCTGTCCGCGGGCGCTCGTAGCTGTCTCTTGGCTTCATTTCGTCTTCTCTAATCTTGTATCTACTTATATACGTAATATTGGAAACAGTTCGTGAACATTTTAAAAGAATAAATTTGCCGTTTTTATTGGTGCGATTCTTTTTTTCGAGGATGCGAGGAACAAAGATTTGTAAATGAGAAAAAAAATAAGAGTTTTAGCAGCATTGCTGAAAACCACTAATGCGAGTAAAAGGTTATCATTGAAAGGCCTGCCCGCTCGCTTATCTTGGATAGCTTCGAGTACCAAGCACATTTGCGGTCACGTACCTAATCAATTTGTTATAATTTTAGTCAATTTAAAACCAATTAAACTCAATCTAGTCTAATAGCGGATATTGTTGCGTGCAATTAATTAAATGAATTATGTTTGGCTCCGCATCTACAGGTACACTGAGGACTCGAGGACGTGGAAATTCGATTCAATAACCTACACTTCGTTAAAAGTATTATTCAACGTATGTTTGATGAGGTTTTTTTTCCTACCTATACTGATAGCCTTGAGAGACTATTTCAGCTTCACCCTAACGTGTGTAGGTGAGCTCACGAGTGAGCTCAGGAGTGTTGCTAACACTGGCCCTAGCAAGAGCCGTGCTTCGCAGAATATACCACCGGATCGGAAACGCGATCCACTGAGAAGATCCAGCGAGAAACTCAGAGGGCAAATGATAAGGTTTTAAGCATTCCTTTGATGAGGTTTTAAACATATGCCTATTTCTGCCGTGAAGCAATAATGCGTTTCGGTTTGAAGGGTGGGGCAGCCGTTGAACTATATAATATAAGGTCTCACCTTAGAACTTATCTTAAGGTGGGTGGCGCATTTACGTTGTAGATGTCTATGGGCTCCAGTAACCACTTAATACCAGGTGGGCTGGGAGCTCG